GAGCCAGCCAACCAGACCATTCCTGGAGGTCTGGGCACCACTCATTAAAGAGTCCATCAAGAAACAGAATTCACCCAATGAAGAGGATGGAGGAGTGAACCGAAAACCCATGCTAGTGAAGACAGATGTGAAGGAAGTGAGGATGGTTAAAGATAGGACAGCTGACACTACACGACAGTGATGTCTAGACCTCCTGGGTCCTACTAAACCACAGGCTACAGGAATGGGGCTCAGACTTCTTTAGGATGCAAAAGCTGTCCGGGTGATTCTCACATACATCAATACCCAAGAATCACTGCTCTAAGGCAAAACTTTTTTTTTTTTTTTTTTAAAGATTTTATTTATTTATTTGACAGACAGAGATTGCAAGTAGGCAGAGAGGCAGGCAGAGAGAGAGGGAAGCAGGCTCCCTGCTGAGCAGAGAGCCCGATGCGGGACTCTATCCCAGGACCCTGGGATCATGACCTGAGCCGAAGGCAGAGGCTTTAACCCACTGAGCCACCCAGGTACCCCTAAGGCAAAACTTCTTAAACGTTAACATGCATCAAAATCTCCTGCAGGGCTGGTTAAAGCACAGCGCCAGGCCTTACTCCCAGAGTTTCTGACTTAGTAGGTCTAGAGCAGAGCCTGATAATTTGCATCTCAGCCAGTTTCTAGAAGACACTGATGCTGCTGGTCCAGGACCCACACTGTGATAACCACTGCTCTCAACGAAGGCCCAGGATCAACTGCGCAGGTGTTGGAGGTATCAGAAGTTTTAACAAAATATAATGGAAACACTATAAAATTAGTTATTCACAAGTGGACTGGACTGCCTGGTGAGCTGAAGCTGGAACCACGGCCCTGTGACTGGAGATACTCAAGCCAGGACACTGGGAAGGAAGGCTGCCAGGCAGTCTTCTCTCCCTCTGCTCCCAGAGCCTACGGCACTGTGTGTCGAAAGAAAGCTCTGTCTCTGTTTTCAAAAACATTTTCTTCTCCTCAAGCTAAAACACAAGCACAATTCCAAACTCAGCTGTAAGTTTAAAAGTAATGCCCTTAAAAATAGCAGCATAGGGGCACTTGGGTGGCTCAGATGGTATAAGTGTTTGCCTTCAGCTCAGGTTGTGATCCTTGGGGTCCTGGGATTGAGCCCCGCATCAGGCTCCCTGCTTGGTGGGGAGTCTGCTTCTCACCCCCGCTCTGCTGCTCCCCGTGCCTGTGCACTCTCACTCTCCCTGTCAAATAAATAAATAAAATGTTAAAAAAAAAAAAAAGGCATTGTAATTTCAACCAAATTCCTTACAGGGTGTCAGTAAGCCAGTGCGTGTTTTTGTAAGCACCAACGGAAAAGCAACAAATCCATTAAAAACCCCACCGGTGTCAGAGGGTTGCTTATAGAGGTGCACATTTTTGTTTTGGCAAAACAGAGAAAGACAAACTCAGCGTGAGAACAAAGTGTAACTGCTGAAATTTAAAAACAAATAAAAGAAACAAGTGCTTTCTCCAAACCCCACAGTCTGCTTAAAATGTTTCATTCCACGCTTTTGTCTAGAACATCATGATCTGTTCACTTATCTTTTAACAAATTTGTGGAACAGAAAAAGGTGAGGTAAATGTTGATTGGACTGAAATTATACCCTTAGTTACAAGAAATACTCAATTTTGTATTTCATTATAATTATGGCAGCTCTGTTTTTGAAACATACAAAGAACAAGACAGTGGGCTGGTCAGACTTCTACAACAGCGTACCCAATTATGTACTCTAGAAACTGGTCTAAAGTTGTATAAAAAAAATCTTATATATAAATAATGACCTTAATATCTTAAATAGCAAACATCCACTTTACTTATTGCTTGGCCAGCAATGACAGCTAACTCTTTTGGAGAGAGGGCGGGCTGGGGGAACGGCAAGAACAGACAGTACAACTAGATGCAAAGATTTACCTTTTCTAAAGCCATTCCATCCTCATGCAGTCTGTCTGAAATAGGATCTTTCAGAACTACCTTGTTCAGGTTAAAGAGAGACTTTCCACATCCAGCTCATTATACTACTCCTGCATATCAATACTGAACTGTTCATGCTACATCCATTAAATACTTTTAAAAGTCTTAAAGTTTTACTACTCAAATCTAAACTCATTCTTCCATAGTCCCTACATTACTAAACATTTCACCCTCTCTAAAATAGAATTACCTTGGGAGGGACTTCTAGATTTTTTTTTTCCTTAAAATTTTACTTATTTACTTGATGGGGAGAGAGAGACAGAGAAAGCGTGTGTGCAAATGCAAGCAGGGAGAGGAGCTAAGGCAGTGGGAGAAACAGACTCCTTGCCTGGACAATGAGGCCAATGCAGGGCTCGATCCCAGGATCCTAGGATCATGACCTGAGCTGAAGGAAGACACTTAACCAACTAAGCCACCCAGGCGTCTTGAGAAGGACTTTTTTGGGTAAGATTTCTATTTATTTATTTGACAGAGAGAGAGGGAAGCAGGCTCCTGCTGAGGAGAGAGCCCAACATGGGCTCGATCCCAAGATCCCAGGATCATGACCTGAGCCGAAGGCAGATACTTAACCGACTGAGCCACGCAGGCACCTCAGAGAGGGACTTTTGAATATCTTTAAATCATCATTTTTGTGGAAGATATTTCTCGTAATTTCCACTGTGAATGTTATTTCATTATTAAGCAAAGATTCCTGTATCTGTTCTTTCATTTAAGTCTTTGAGCTCTAGATTTCTTTCTCAAAGTCATCAGACTATATGTTGAGTAAGAAGAGTCAGCATGCCCCCATGAGCAGATCCTTCCATAAACCTTGAAGTTTTATAATCACTTACATCACCTTTAAGGTAGATACAATACCTGCAAGAAGCAAAAATCTTGGACTAACATCTTGCCCTGCAAGAATTGTATTTAAAAAAAAAAAAAAAAAAGGGACCTTTTATGATTTCTGATCCAAACATTCAGAGAGCTGACCTGAGGGTCTGAGTTCACTCTGGGGTAGACACGGGTGTGGATCAGAATGGACACAAAACCTTTCTGTGAGGCCCTGAACCAGTGTGGCTTCTTCCAAGGTTTTTCCATTCCCCAAAGGGATGAGGTCAGGCAATATTCTGGACAGCTGGGGAATGATATTCCCTTGGTCATTTTTCCCCAGAGGTACACCTCATGGTGAGGTTTTCCTTAGAGCGTCATCACTGGGGAAATTCCCTGAGGGGAAGGTGTGGATTTAGTCATCCCTGGATTTCCTCAGCACCTGGTTAGAGAGCTGTAGACACAACAGACGCTTGGCATGTGGTCAGCAAACAAGAGTGAGGACTGGTTTTTTTGAGAATGGCTAAAAGGCTAAAAATGAAAGAATACCCTTGGCCTGCCTCTTCATCTCAGTCAGTCATATCCCACTTTATTTCGTTTCTTTCTCAAGTCCCACTTCAAAGCATCCTGATCACACTCTGAACCTGGGTCTTCCTCTCTGAAATACCAACAGGATTCTGTACACAGTTTTATTTTCAGCCTGTGATATCATAATAACCTACTGTCCTACACTTGCTATTTAAGTGTCCCTCAGTTCTGTGAGCACTCTGAGGGCAAGGATAGGGTCTAGAATTGTTTTACCAACACACAGTGTTTGTAGTACTATACCCAAGAGAGGTTTTTTACGAACCCGTCATTGCTTCTGAAAAGCAAAAATAAATCTAGTTATATATGTCAATTTCTTTTTTTTTTTAAGATTTATTTGAGAGAGAGCGAGAGAGAGAAAGAGAGAGAGAGAGAGAAAACACAAGCAAGGGGAGGGGCAGAGGGAGCAGACTCCCTCCTGAGCAGGGAGCCTGACTCTGGGCTCAATCCCAGGACCCTAGGATCATGACCTGAGCAGAAGGCAGATGCTTAACTGACTGAGCCACCCAGGTGCCCCTCGTTATGTAAGTCAAAAATGCATTGAATACACCTAAACATTGAAGCTTGGCCTTGCCCATTTAAACCTGCTCAGAACACTTACGTTGGCATACAGTTGGGAAAATCCTCAATCACAAAGCCTCCTGTATAATCAAGTACTGATGATCTCCTGTGACGTACTGAGTACTGGTCTGAACGTGAAGACCAGAAAGGCTGCATGGGTACAGAATGGTTGTGAGCACAACGGTTGCGGCCACATTAGAGTCAGGGTCAGACCACACGACCACTAAGCTAGTCCAGGAACAGCTCGAAATGCAAAATCAGAATCCAGTTCCTACCAAATGTGCCTTGCTTTCACGCCATCATAAATCAGGACTGTATGGAACCTGACTGAGGGAGATGCTCCGAGAAGGCACACCTCAGTGACTACAGCTGCTTCTTGGACTCTAACGCTAATTATACACTGTCCATTTTCAAGGAGTTGAGGCAACTTGGAGACAGAGCTAAATAATTTGAAATTTCAAGAGGTCATGTTGGAGAAGATGTGTGAGCAGAGGAAGGGGAGGTTGCTGGCTTTCTAAGAATTCTGGGATGGGGGGAGAAAGAATGCAGATGCTAACTGAGCTTTGCTCAGTAACCTGTAATGTAACTTTTTTCTCTGCCCCCACCCCCCTTGCAAAAACCCTGAGTACAAGCTACATCACCAATGCTTTGTAACACTGTGTCTGCTTTGGGGGAACCAAAAGAATGTTCTAGCGCGGCTTGGGAGGTGGGTAAGTACATGCTGAGGACAGACGGTGTCCACAGAGGGACACGAGTCCAGGATAAAAGTACGAAGAAAAGTGGCTTAAGAAAAGTGGCTTACTAAGAGACCAAGAGGGAAGAACTAATTTAAAGCAGCAGGTAAAATTCCCCCTCAATTGTTAGGAATTGTATAAATTTGTAACCGACTCACAAAGCACAAAGCAACACAAGTTTTCAAGATGTATTTGCATTCGGTACTCTTAAATACATTAACTAAGAATGATTAGAATTCACTCATTTGGCCTTTAGAACCTGAAGGGTCTAGAGCCCCAAGGACTGATGTGTTGATACAACTTTATCTCTGCTTTCCTGCACTCACCGGTAGGTGGTTTCTGGAAGGAGGTCTTTTATAACGTGGGTGGTGGTATTGGCCACGGTGATGCTAGTGTCTCCAAGGTCAATATTGTAAGCAAGGATTTCAGATCCATTATTGCACGGCTCTTCCCAGTTCAGTACAAGGCACACAAAAGGTGAATCAGGGTAGGCATTGAGGGTCTCCTCTTCCAGGACACAGAGAGTGGAGACAGGGTCAGGGGCAGACGCTGGTGTCTGGCAGAGGACAAGCTCACTATATGGTCCTGCTCCAGCTTGATTGACAGCCTAAAAAGACAAGGGCAAGCAAAGTCCACGTTACCCCAATGTAAATTCTAATGCCTTCATGTTAGGTGCTGCACACAATTTACTTCTAGAAACCTGGGTAGAGTTGAATCTCAGAAAATGTTCCCTTTTCACAATCCACTTTCCCCACAAATGCCAAAGGCAACTTCTCTGTTAATAAAGCAGAAGATAATATCACCATCATCACCTTTTATGAAAAATAATTTAAATAACACTTTGTGTTTGCACAGCCCGCTTCAGGTTATATGCTGCCCTGTGACAACTCCCCAGTAACCGTCCAGGGTAGACAGTAAATGGCCAGTATTCTTCCACAGTTTTCCATGTGAATGATAAACTGCTATGTGAAGTCAATTCTCAGCCCTTTCTGATTTTACCTGAGCGCAAGAGCTAAGACCTTCATTACTCACTGCTCTATCAAATACTTATTCAATGGGTCTCCAGGGCCATACTCTCGTTTCTACTGACCTGCTGCTGCTTCTCAATCACCTTTGCCGAATGCTACTTATCACCTGGATCTCTCAACACTGAAGGCCACCAGGGCTCAGGCCATGGACACCTCTTCTTCTTTTTAAATCTCTGCTCTAACTCCTTGAGGTATCACGTTGTCCCAGAGGTAAATGCCATTTATATCATATCCCAGGGATAAATGCCATATTATACCCTAATACTGTTTATATCCTACTCCCAAATTTACTTGTGTAGCTCAGACCACTGCTGTGAATGCCAGCCCAGTATATCCAGCTTTCTTTGGGACATCTCCACTTGAATGTCAAGGAGGCATCTCGAACTCAAGTGTCCGCACCGTCCCCTCATCTTCACCCCATCCCTCTTCACCAAAAAACCGCACTGCACCTGCTGTAGTCCCTCTCATCCCTCTGAGCTGAAGGCAAAGGCTTAACTGAGCCACCCAGGTGCCCCTATAACACTTAGGTATTACTGTTAATTTGAAAGATGTTCACAGCATTCATTTCCTAACAAATCACTTTTGAAACTCTACTGTAATATTTGTCACATTGTCCTACTTCAGGACAATACTTCAACTCTCTTTTTGGTAAAATTTTAAACTCAAAAAGGATAGTGAAGTTCTTTCCTGTGGTGGCAGACAGTTCTTTATTTATATCCTGCCTTGTTCCAAAAACAGGAGTGTAGCACATATTTTGTAACCTTTTCCCAGTGACTCAGCATTGCTATTACAAAGATCAGATAATGTGCTGTGACCCTGACTCATTGACAAAGAGTTAATTATGTCCCAGGTGCTCCATTCAAGAAGGAAGGAAGGTGCATAACAAAAGAGTTTAATCAGAATGTTTATGATAAAGTAGGCTTCAGAATTCAACAGAGAAGTCTCAGTTGATCCGAAAAATTAATTTATGAAGGGAATATTTTCTCCAAAGAGGTCAGAGACACTGGTATGTTGATGGACTTGTAATAAGCAATTTGTTTCATCACTTAGATCAGGTGGAAACCTAAATCGGGCATCTTCGCTTCTTCATCTATTTAAGTCCACACATGTGTGAAGACAGACTTCTCCAAGGTCAAGAACCACATCTGACTAATCTTTGTACCTCTCCTCTTGATTATCTTGATCATCCTTTGATCCTGGAACAAAGTCATGCTCAAAAAAACGGTTACTAAACGAATGGAAAGAAATGGACAAAGAACCCGATTTTCTTAGGACAATAAGGCTTTACAGAGGGGGTAAAAATAACTTATCCGAGTCAATGAAGTAAAAGGAAACTCATGACTGCTGTCACTTTTAGGGGTTAGGCTAGCAGCCAACTGTTCTTGATGTTACTCTGTTTGGACTCCCAAGTCAAAGCTTCCAGCTAACGAGCTTTGTTAAGGGTCCCTGAGAAGTAGAAGTGGATCCTGTAATCTAATGCAGAACAGTCTGAACCACCCTAACGTTTGTTTCTGGCAACCACTCAACCACCAGCATGGACAGCTTCTGTCTTCTGCCAGTTTTAAGTGTCTCTCCCGCTGAAACGACCATGTTGGGAGAATTCAAACAGAAGGAACCTTCCCCAAGGAGCCCCAACACCTTTGCCTTGCACTCGGTCATTGAGTCAGTGGATTCACAAGCAAGACATCAGGATGGGGAGAAATAAGAATGCTGTGGAAACGCTTTCTGATCTTATGTTTCAGGACATCCTAGAGAAGCAGAAATTAATTATAAGACACCAAGACAATTACATGTATTTTTACCTAAAAGGACTCTTTTCCGTATCATCCCTCTTGACAGCCTCAATCACAGGCCTTTGAGTAAGTTCCCCGGAGTGTCTCATGGAACACCAGGGCCTAGGAGTGACATTAAGTAATGTCCACCTACCTGCAGTCTACAGCAATATTGTGCAGCGGGCAACAGATCCCTTATCTCAAAGCCGGTGTCTGTCCCATGATAAACGAGTTCTAAGGATTCTTCATCTTCTCCCCATTCCAACCTGTACTCCGAGATGTCGGCACCAGAGCTCTCAGGACTCTGGAAAGCAGAAACTCAAGTAGTTAATTTCACTGAGAAGAAAAGCCCATGATGTTTGTGTTCAACTAACTGAAATGGGAAAAAAGCAATGTGCCCCTGGATATTTCAAATACAAAAGAAAGACATGAAAAGAGATACTTAATTTCCTCTCCGTTCTGACAAGTGATAAAATGTGGATGACTCTAAGTATCAGCAAACGCCAAGGGAGATTAATGTGTTACGTGTGAATTTTAGCTCTGTAGGCTCCTTGTAACTTGCATTTGGGGGCGCATAAAGTAGAAGAAATAGAAGTTGATGCAGAACGTGCGCCTGACTTACCTCCCAACTCACGAGGACACATCCGTCAGGTGTAAAAGAAATACAAGGTGCTTTGCACTGTCCAGGGGGCCCGGCAGCAGTGGTAATCTCTGAGACCTCGGAATACGGTCCGTACTGAAAGAGAACACACACAGGCCTGTGTGCATGTTGTACGCACACGTGTGTATGTGTGGATGTATGTATGCACACGTGTGTATGTGTGGATGTATGAAATCTAGGTTAACAGCACTCACAGTACAACTGATTAAAGAATTATTACCTAATGGTTTTCACTCTCAGTTGGATGTGTATAAGGTATTTTCCTACATTCAATCCCTGAGTGGTGAATGTCTATTATGTATGTATAGTCTTTTTATTCAACGATCACAAGGTTGGTTTACCATTTTTCCTTTACTGACATCAGAAACAAAAACATGCTGATTTTTGACACAAGACGACCTTCTGTTTTAGCATTCCTCATAGGATATCAAAGGAAACGAGGTCTGATGTACACCACAGTTTAATTTTCAACACACAAAAACCTACTTGAAACTGGTGGTTATCAAATTCTGACTCTTTCTTCTAGTTACTGGTGTTTTCCATTTTGAAAATGAAAGCTCCTGTTAACATGTTCTCAGCATCACCCCACCATTTCAACTATTTGAAGGTTTATACTACACTTCTCTGTTCTTTAAAAGGCCTTCAGTGATCACACTACTCAGAGCCAACCGCTATTAGTTCAAGAGAGCCAGAGTCACTCAATTTAATAGTGGAATTTGTGATACCACAAATAGCTGGGGCAAAGAACAAAATAAAATAATTTCCAGGCTAATGAAGTGTTTGACAATGCTTTTCCAAAATGGTAAAAAAAAAAAAACAAAAAAACAAACAAACAACCCAAAAAACCCAACAACCAAAAAACCAGTCAAATTTTCCAAGATAATCTGCAAATACGTGGGTGTGGGGGCTGTGGTGGATCGAGAGAGGCTTTCTGGAGCAGACCTCAAAAGCGGACTACAGTCAGGTATGTGGTTGGCTTTCAATAGAACAGAATTAAACGGAGGCTGAGGACAATTTTTTTAGATGATAAATTAGTGAAAGGAGACAGAAAGTAAAACTCAAGAGCCCCAGAGCTGCACATTTATCTTTGTTATGACGGCGATGCCCTGAACAGTGGACGGGAAAAGGAGCAAAAACAACAGTACGATTATTTCCGCAGCATCTGTGGTCATCACCTTTCATGCTCTTGTTAATCATATTAATTCAGGTGCATAAGTTTTCTTATCTTCTCATCAAAACATTTTTATTGGTATTACGCTGGTCTTTTTTTTTTTTTTTTTTTTTTTTTAATTTCAATAGTTGTGCTGTGTCTGAAATTCCTTCCCAACTGGGAATTTAGAAGGAATCCAGCTCCTGGTAAGGGATTGTGATCCTACTTTAGAACAAATGTTCTCACTGTGAGTGTGGCTAGTGGAAAATGGCCTGGAGACCAACACGTTCCCCTCTGTCAGACTCGTGCAGGACAACCCACAATGAGAAAAAGTCACTACCAATTTCATGCCACTGTTGGCAATGCTTCCTGATTTTTAAAAACTCCATCAATTAATTCCATCTATTTATTTGTATGGACTTGACCGTGCGACTTGTGAGCACACCTGGGGGGGGCGGTCTGTAGCAGCAGTCTGAGCCGCAAAGCCTGACACTATCTGGTTACCTTGTTCTTATCGTCAGTCTCCCCCCAACCCACATCATTCTGCAATTAAAATATAGGTGTAATACAGAGACTGACTCAGTCTCTGATAGGCTACCTCGACACCTCCCAGAGGAGCAGACAGCAGGGCCGAGAAGAGTTCTCCAGTCTACCCTTGAAACAAAGCAAAAACGAGAAGCTGGCCTCCCTACCTTCTATCCCACTCCAGTTCTGAGAACTAACCTAAGATACTGCTGGGTCATTTAGACAATATGGTAAAGGAGTGATTATGTAATCCTAATTTGCCAGAACTGATTAATATAGTCAACAAGCAAGTAGGAAATTATTTAAAAAAAAAAACAAAAACCCAAAGCATCTTAAGGGTGATGTTCTTATTAACCTTGAACTCTTCCTTAATAGAATGATATGAGGGGCACCTGGGTGGCTTAGGTGGTTAAGCATCTGTCTTGGACTCAGGTCATGGTCCCGGGGTCCTGGGATGAAGCCCTGCATTGGGCTTCCTGCTTAGCAGGAGTCTGCCTCTCCCTCTGCCCCCACCTCCCCCTTGCTTGCATGCTCTTTCTTTCTCTCTCAAATAAATAAATAAAATCTTAAAAAAAAAAATAGAATGATACAAGGACAAAACAAAATTTTCAGTACTGGGTCAATAGGCAATCACAACAATGTACTTCAGACCTTAATGGTCATCAAGGTTGGCTACGTAACACTGAGGAATTTCAGGAGGGTGGATACGGAAGTTAGAACCTTGTATCTGGATTGTGGCGTACAGGCGTGTACTCACCCCTCCGTCATTCAGAGCCCTGACCCGGAAACGATACACGGTGCCGGGGAGCAGGTTGCCGACGGTGCACTCGAGCTCTGGCCCATGGTACACCTCCGAAGCTACATCCTCAGGCTCTGTCATCTCCACGCTGTACTCGGAGACCTCACAACCACTTTCAGAGGCAGGAACGTCTGGGAATGGAGAATGCATTTCATCTTTAAACATTCTTGTGCTTCCAGCTGACCACATCATACCTGGTTTCCCACCAGGTTTGCAAAACATCGTGTGGGGTAGCTGGTCCTCAGGATCCCGCTCACAGAAGAGCACTCCCCACTCCCCACTCCCCACCCCCCACCCCGAAAGAAAAGAGATACGGAGGAGTTTCTGAATGATACTACCTGTACTTTCCAAAGCAAGTACGTTTGAGTACATTTACTTACATTAAAAAAATAATTTGAAAACAACAGAACCATCAGGTAAATGTCTTTATAATCTAAGGAAAGGAAGCTACAGAAGAAGAAAATCTTCTCTTTAATTTAAAACCAAAGGTCTCGTTAAATCAAGGTCAATGACCCCGAGTTGGTGCAGTATTTTTTTATGTGGTAGACATAGGTGGTGGGGAAAAAGCAGTCAGAGTTTGCAGGTTTGTATCTGCAATTTTACATGCTGTCAGCTGCTGCTACCACAGGAAATGCTCATACAACTTGAGTCAATACTGCAGAGCACCAGGACCCACCGGACAAAAGGACGAGACGTCACCGTACGAACCACGTCTCGCTTTTATCTCTAAATTGATCACAATCAATTTGTGCTTGTGAATGAAGTTGCAAAATGAAGTTGAAAAATTCCTGAACAAGACTGGCTGCTCTGCAAGATCTAGGAAAGTGCCCCCTGAAGGTCAGAGATGCCCACCCAGAATGTGGGGCACTGCTTGGTACAGCAGGAGAAGTGACAGCGCACAGGAGAACACAAACCGAGGCCAATACACGTTCAACAGAAAATGGACATTTTGAGCCAAAACCACGATGGTTTTCAGAAGACAGATGACTTAGTAACAAAGCATTAAATCTTAGCTCCAATCTCCAATTGTCCCAGTTGCTAATGTCAATGTCAAGTTGTGTTCACTCACCCCACTCTAAGTGGACTTCTTTGTGCTTTGGTCGACCCAAGACCCTCGGTGGTCGACACTGACCTGGTGCAACGCTTAGTGTGCGAGCAGGGAGACTTTCAGAACACTGCAGGAGAAAAAGCAGAGAGAACCGTCTATTAGGTCCTGTGAATTCACAAGACCGCTACATACCAGGCAAATTCTACCCTCCAACCAAACATGCTGCCAACAGGGGTCAGTCACATACTGAACGTATATCACATAATTTTTTTTTCTCAAAAAAATCTTTATTCCAATTGAGGAAATAAATTAATACATAAGACTTGAAAAAGTTAGGAAATAATTCAAAACATTATTAAAGTATGTTGAGGACAAGAATTCCCATCCTTCTCCCTCCATTTAAGAAGAGCTATAGATTTGCAAAACTGGATTTGGAGTTTTTTAAGGGGGATGGGTAAAGCAAATAGAAAACTTAAAACAAAACTCAGACAAGGCAGTGGATCACCATAACGAAGAGAAGGGAAAGGGGGGAAGACAGGAGGTGGAGGAAACCAAATTCTTGGATGTGAGTGTCCAGCATGAGTGGCTGGTTGTGAAACAAAGGTTGCAGGAGCCACAGAGTGGCGAGTATCAACATGGGTGGGCTGGCTGTGTTCTCTTACACTTCATCCCATCTCTTCCTGTGCTATGGTTTGACTCTGGCTGTATCCTACTCTTTGATTTTGCTGAAGCCTGAGCTCAGATTTCTGATGCCATGCTCTACTTGTGTACACATAATTTTCATGCAACAACACCCCCTCTCGTGTGTATGCGAAGTGTGACCATATACTGGCTGCATACGGCACTGGTAAAAATGATTATTTCTGAAGTCAGATTCACAGATAGGGGTTGTCTATTCTAAGCACACAATTACTTTCCCTTAAACCCAAATTAGAGAGAGCCTTCATGAGGACAGAAAACACAAAACAACAGCTGGATGAAATTTTTAAATGTGCCATAAATGGCAAACCATCCACATACAGAGCAGAAAAGCAAATAAATTCAGTATTAATCAACTGAGTCTGACATTAGCCAGCAGGTTCTGTTAATGCTAAAATAAGTAGGCCTTCTTCTTGTAGGATCTGTTTGTGTTATGGCTGGTGATGTGAAAGTTGACTGCCTGATCCTGAGCCTGGAGAAAACAAGGTGGGGGAGGAACACACAGAACTCCTCAACAGAACTCCTTCTTCCTGAGAAGAAGTGTTACAGAGGAGACGGACTCCGTATTTTCAGGCAGCACTGCCCCTCACACACCGGCTGACAGTCTGGCTTTGGTGTGGGTAACCCCGAGAAGCATTCCAGAGAGCTCTGGCACTGGAGAACGGTCTCACTGGACCCCCTTTCCACATAGTCTCTCTATACGGGTAGTCGAGACATCCCAATATGCTATCCTTACGGCGGGGGTGGGGGCAGGGAGAAAATAAACACAAGACAACCCTGGAGGTATGCTGACCACTGACTGCAAAGCTAGGCGCCTTAACGGCAAGTGTTCTTGTGAAAAATAAACCCAGCAGAGGGCCCTAAGCCACCATCTCCTAGTCTCTCTCTCAGGACCAGTTTCAAACCATAGTATTAAAGATTCTTACAACGAAAATGGCTTTTGACGACCTTGCCTTTCATGCACTTTCTGAATGTAAGTTAAAGCCATTTAGACAACAACCATCTGATTTCTAGGGCATGCCCTGTGTATTTATGAGGTTATTATGAGGTATTTATGAGAACACGGTGTGGCTGACACCAAGGCTCCTGACATGTTAACTGGCTGGTCTAAGGTCAAATTAAGAGCAGACAATAAGGAATATGCTGCTGCCTACAGTTGTGTAAGTTGTGCACTGCACAACTGCAAAGGTGTCATTCAGCTCTGCCATCACAAATTTACACAGCTTTTGTAATAATTTTCCAGCAGATGGCAGTAAAGCACCTTGGGGAAAGTGTATCTCATCCTCACAAAATTGCCAGATGTGGTAACAGCAGAGCTGTACAAGAGGTCGTATCTTTTTGACTCTACATTCTGTGCTCTTGGTATCATTGCAATAACGGAGGATCCTCTTGAGCTAATATGAATGTCAGGCAACATTCAATTTTTAGCTGTCACACATGATCATGCCAGAGTCTTGTAAGAAATAACTAAGAGACAAATGTACCTGACAACACCACGATTCAGCTGAGAATCATCAGGGCCTAGCTTTTTTGTCCTCTAAGGCACAATTTAAAAAACTCAAGTTTTCAAACACATTTTAAAATAATTTTATTTGGATGGTACGGACTGGTTGTCTGAACTTGACCCAAGAAGTTTACTTTTACATCAAAACAAAACCCACCTGACTGTGTCCACCGGTGCTGATGCAGCATGCTCGAAGTTTGTACAAAGTGCCTGGTTTCAAGTGGGTGAAAGTGTATTCCGTTGCCGATCCGCTGTACGCCACCTCCCACTGACTTGCTGTAAGACAAGACTCAGGTGTGAGTTTATGCCTTCCGGAAAATGTCATCGGATCAACCATTACGGCTGAGGAAAATTTCCAAGTGGTTGCCATGAGAACCAGCACTTCCTATTCTTTCTTTCTTTCTTTTTTTTTTTCTAAATAGCCAAGGGTCCTCTTACCACTTCCTTCACAAAGTTAAATATTTAAAATTCACACGGAGTCATTTTTAATACTTAGTTCTGCAGGCTAGACTACTCAATACCAGCATTATTACATTTTCTGACTATGAGGTTTGGATGCTAGAAACCACATAGAATCCGTAGTGGGCATGGGGAGGTGGGGGGCAACAAGCGGTGACAGAGGGCAAGGTCCAGGGTGCAGTGAGCCCGTCATCAGGGGAGGAGACTCAGCGGGTATGGGGAAGGCTGCTGGGCAGCCTGGGATACGCCACAGAGTCTCTCCTCTGTCATCTGCAGGGAGGTCACAGTAAGTGAAATCCTCCCGTTAGAGACGGGAGTCCTTTAGGGGCAAAGCCTGCTGTCTTCATGGAGCTCATTTAAAAGACAGAAATGGCTGGGATGTTGACAAATGAAGATGAAGCACTTGGTGTGACCTAGTCCTATGACCACTTCTGGGGGTTAAAGCAAGCAAGCAGGGCCCGGGAAAGAGCTGGTACCTGCGGAAGCGGATGCCACCAGAAAGAAAGGGTTTGCCTCCCAAACCCTCCCCAAGCTCCTTGGTAGGATGGATTTACCATGAAGCCACAGGGACCAGGGCCAAGGACAGGGGGCATTAGAAAGCATTATTCTGACACTACTGGTTAAAAACCTGTGAAGGGGCAAATGAGAACAGGGACAACGGAGAAGAGCCCACTTTATGTGCTGGCAAAACTTTAAGGACAGAATGGTGTCTACTTTTGATAGGATAGCAATAATCAAGAGAGGCACGAAAATTCAAAATATACTTAGATTTTCACAAGGAGTCACTGGATACACCTGACTTCTCTCCTAAGGAGGTTTTCTAATGTCAAAATCTAAATCAAATTTTTAGCCCAGAATATGATTTTATGTCTATTAAAACAGCTGTGCCCATCTCAAAGCATTCTCATGTTTTAGCTTAAAAGAGAAGCCGACTGACATGAAAACCAAAGTACTCCAGGTGGCTACTGAGGTACAGAACAGAAGACAGGCACACACCTGTGCCGCCTGTTTGTAAAAGTCAGTGCTACTGCTCTTTCTTTTTGCCGTATGCCATAAATCACTTTTTTTTTTAAATGAGTGGTTAAAGGGATTATCAGAATGGTGAGATATGTCATTTTTAGAGTTTTGATGACTATGCTTTCTTCTATTAAAGCCTAATAAATTTTATTAGAAAAAAGATCGAAGAAATTTTTTAAAGGCATTATTGAAGGAATTCGATCTTTAACATGGTACTGCTTTAATCCACATAGTATGACAGGTGATGAATAATCTGACTCAGATGTCCCACAGACAGAAAGACATTTGCTAAACTTGATATAAAAGTGTGACACTGTCACGAGCTCACGGTAATACTATGTTTTGTTTGCTATCACTGTATGTGGGAATTTGTAGATTATTGAACTTGTTTGCTGTCTCCACCCTATCCTTCCTGGTGACTGCTTCTGACACTCTTCTGCTTATAAGAATTTCTAGAGAAAGTGTGCTAAGGGAGGGGACAAAAATGTAATTATTCTATTAATTAGGACCACTGGTTTAAAGAAATGACATGGAAAATTTAAAAACATGATAAAAATGTACCTTTTAAGCACACTCTCATCCCTGATGCTGTGTGTAAAAGAGAAAACTGTAAGTAAGTGATTCAGCTTTATTTCTCCTAATAGCACTATCATTAGAGTGAATGGCTGCTCACTATGCCCACTATGACTATAAAGATGTCTATCATATTGGATAATAGGGGCTGCTACTGGATTTGAGTAAAACAATTTCCCAACACTTCACCTTCAGAATTTCCATCAGTAATCTCCAGCAAGTACTTGAGTATTTCTGAACCACCGTTGTCCTTTGGAGGATCTGGAAAGTAAGCAAACGCCTTATTAGTTACGAAAGGGCATTGATTTTTATCAGCAAATATCATTAGAACACAGAAAGTCATGTAACATCATACTGCCTTAATTCTGGATTTAAGCAAAAGGTAAAACCATTACTGTATGGTTCCTGAAAAACAAAAGAAGCGAAAACATCAAGAAACCCAGAATGTGCTCAGATTATTCAAAGTTCTAGAGCTAGAAATGTCAGAGTCAATTTAGTGAAACATGAGCAAAATTCAAAATATGAATTGATTTTTCTAACAGTTAAGTTAAATCTACTTGAGATTTTTTTAGTATTTAATAATTTCTATGTGAAGTGAAATATGTATTTCCTTTATCATTATTTCATTCTGTACTTTAAGTTACCAGCGACCAGATTCTTTTGAGATGGAGAGGGAAGGAAAGAAAAGTGCACAAATTCACTGACAAGACAAATAAAACATGAGAATGTAATGATCTGTTCCATCACAGTTTGCTATTAAGCATACTGTAGGCCCCAAGTGAACCTGATATGCAGCCAAAGTTGTGGATCCATGAGAACATGCACCAAAGAGGTGTTTTGAGGAAGGGGTGCTGGCTTATTACCAGAGCCCTGTGGATGTCAGGTATTTACTCCACTAACTCTGGGCCTGCAAGAGTTTTCTTTTCTGAGCAGAAAAATACCTTGCATTATAATTTTGCAAGACTATGCAGAATTTACTCTACTCTCAGTCTGTACTCCTGTATTTGGGTATCGATTTAGGAACTTTTCTTCCCTTCTTTCACTTGGCATTTCCATTACTGTATACAAATTTCATGAAGAAGATATTTAAAACAATAGTAGTGAAGTTAATTTTTTTAAAAAGATTTTATTTATTTATTTGACAGAGATTACGAGTAGGCAGAGAGGCAGGCAGAGAGAGGGAGGAGGAAGCAGGCTTCCCGCTGAGCAGAGAGTTGATGTGGGGCTTGATCCCAGGACCCTGGGATCATGACCTGAGCCAAAGGCAGAGGCTTTAACCCACTGAGCCACCCAGGCACCCCAATGAAGTTAAATATTATAGCATATGGCTAATGAAAGTAAATATTTAGTATTTATGGAACTTTCTAGGCTTTTCTGAGAAAAAAGCTTTACAATCTGGCAAAAAGCACACCTAGATTTTTACAGTTTCTTTATCATATCCATCTTCCAAGGAAATAGATATCCTAATAACTCTGCCTCAAAATTTTTAGGTGACCTGATACAGTTTTATGTCTCGATGGTTGATCCTCCAATAACAGTTGAATAGTATTTTATTTAAAAAAAATTTTTAAGTAATCTCTGCACCTAACCTGGGGCTTGAACTCACAACCCCAAGATCAAGAGTTGTATGCTCTTTCCACTGAGCCAGTTGGGCGCCCCAACAGTTTAATATTTCAAATTCCCTTTACATCACTTGGCTGCCAGGTAAACTCTTATTTTAAATTTCTCCTTTTATTTTTTTGCCTTTCAGGTAGCTATTATGACACATTAGTGATAATTACATATGTCATAGTAGTTCTACATATAATTGCAAGTGTTCCTTCTAATGGCATTCAATTCTTTTTAAGTTTTATTTATTGAGAGAGAGCAAGCCAGCGCATGCGCAAGTGCATGTCGGGGAGGGGCAGAGGGAGAGGGAGAAAGAAACTCAGCTGACTCCACTCTGAGCACGGGGCCCAACACTGGGCTCAATCTCACAATCCTGAGATCATGACCTGAGCGGAAATCGAGAGTGGGATGCTTAACTAGCTGTGCCACCCAAGCACTCCTCTAACAGCCTTCATTTCATTGAAATAATCCATGCTGCAGAGGTAAACCACAATACCCTTCTGCTTGATACCCCCCAAGCACCACAAAATAACCTCAAGTGAAAAATTCCTAAAGTTCAGGACTTCTGGTTACATACAAACAACAACAAAAACTAGATTTCCTAGTTGTTCTTCACTTGAACATTCTGTATATCAAAATTTCTTATGATGACATACCTGAAGTCTGAACTTTATTTTCAATATTAATTTTATAAATCAATTTTTTACATTAACTATCACTACCATTTGGTAATGGCATGCTGTTGAAGAATGAATATATTTTCAGAGATGACTACATTCAGATCAGTAATATATTAAAAGTATAGGAGGAAAAATACAGGAAAAACCATAGAGGAAGTAAAATGCTCTTAAAATTGTCCATTTTACCAGTTGGTGGAATTCTCTGGATGTTTCTCATACATACATTCCAAATCTGTAAAACTCCCACAAATAACACCTTTTATTTTGTATTTTGCTTTGTCACTACTGAAGTTAATTAGTCTCTAAAAATCTGTCAAAAATAAGCAATAGGAACAGTAGCAAAACGTACCCCACTTGACACTAAAGCCATGAGATGTAACTGGTCCTTTAATGAGGGGTCTTGTGGGAGGCCCAGGCCTGTCAGGACTTGTCGTACACACCAGAACTTCGCTTGGACAACTCTTCCCTTCCACATTAGAAGCAGTGAGCTATAATACAACCAAAAAAATATTAACGTGCTTTAGATATCAGGTTTTAAAGAAATGGGCATTTAAAAAAAAAAAGATTTTATTTATTTATTTGAGAGAGCATGTGTGAGAGAATGCACAGAGAGAGGGAGAGGGATCAGCCGACTCCTGCTGAGCAGGGAGCCTGATGTGGGGCTCAATTCCAGGACCCCAGGACCCTGGAATCATGACCTAAGCCAAAGGCAGACACTTCACTGACTGAGCCGCTCAGGAACCCTGAAATGGGCACTTTTTAACATGGCAATATCAAGGCATCTGTAAACTCACACAGACAGACACACACACACACACATACATTTCCTCTCTCACAATCTCAAACAACTGATTTATAAGCATTTCCTTTACGAGGTACTTATTTCCTGTAGCGTTAGCTATGAACAATTAAAACAGTAAAGGTGGGTTTTAGCAAAAGACTAAATTTTTATCCTTTCAAGAAGACATAAAACAAAACCAGTATGTTACTTCCTGGTTCTTACTCTTCTGTGGAAGGAAAGTATGAGGCGGGGAAAACAGGTAAAAATGCCTTTATTTACTTAAGAGGAGGGCAATGCCATCTTGTGGAGAAATGCTAGCAGTAGCCCTATGTTCTCAGAGCCGGCTCCAAATAACAAACATTTGTTAAAAATCAGTAACTATCATTCTCCTCGAACCGTCCCACACTTCACTGGATAATCTGACAGCTCTTTACTGAATGACTACTACGTGTCAAACACCACTTGGTCCCCCGAACTGGAAAAGGAAGGGAAGACTCAGAAGATGAACTTCTCCCTCCAAAAAGGACACAGCCCTAGCAGACCCTGGTAAACAGCCCTGCAGCCAAGAACGCTGCCCTCTGCTCGCTCTAACGGCTGCGGCTGGGAGCTCCATTTTTCCTTACAGTGCGGAGTCCTCTAGTGACATTAATAGTGGTGGCTGATGACCAAAGCAATGCCTAAGTAGGGACAGAGTGGGCACGGAAAAGAAACATAAAAATAGCTGGAGAAAAAAGAAATGGGCAGAAGAGCAGAGGCAGAGAGAGAGTGAACGGGAAATCGAATTAAAAGGAGAAGCACGGGAGGGCAAGGGGGGACGTGTGGGTGACAGGTGCACTGAGTGTTCAGCTCGGGTGCCCTCAGCCACTGGCACCCGGCCACCCCGTGATGTGGTCTGTTCCAGCATGTGACAACAGGTTCCCCTCTCAAAACTGGGCTTTAAAATTTAAAGTACAGTGCGCCTTCTGTAAGTGTTACTTTAATAATGTAAAGCATGGTGAAACTTAAAAATCTTTCCACCTACAGAGTCCGTTTGAAATGGTAAATGGGTGCAACATGAAACAGCTGTTTTTTTAAATCAGTTCTGGTACCAAAATGACTGACTCACCCTGAATTTATACTGTGTGCTTCTTTTGAGATTTTTCACAGTACAGGTTAAGTCCTCTCCAGTGTATTTCGGGTGGAAAAGGTTATCCTGCAAAGGCAAAGCCAGAAAGAAATATCAGTATCACTGAAAACTGGGCATTACTAAATACCTCTGTGTTTAGGATTTTTCTATTGCCTCTTTCCATCACCACCAGCAGCCAGACGTCGAGCAGCGACAGCAAAAAGAGAGTGTCAGAGTTCTTGGTGCTGTAGATAGTGCTGTAGCTCTATCAAGTAAAAATTTGACTTTATCTCATTGTAGTTTCTCCTGGGTCTGTCGAACTTTATTGTGAGGCTCGAACGTGCATGAGAACAGTGCTCTCCTCCTGAGAGGATGCAAATCCACCCTGGAAAAGATGCCACCACATGCTTTCCTCCCAGAGCAAACTTCTCCCAATTCCTCAATAAGCATTTTAAACAAAGGATTAAACCACCAAGGAGGGCCAGGTGACAAAGTAGTATGTACTGTAAAAAAATGTATTTAATGTTAGTCTGAGAAGAACGTTTTCTTCCGGGCTCTTGACCGTGTAGTTGCAATGTGCTACGTAACGAACTGCGGCTGAGCTTTCTGACCACACAGTGTCCTCTTCTGGCCAAGGGAGAAAGGACAGTCTGGATGGGAAAGGCATGATCCTTTAAGAGGCTAGGTATCCCCCTAAAAGCCCAATATGCAGAATTCATTCACTAGTATTCTCAATCACGCACCGCTCCATCCAGCCAGCCATCAATGATTACGGAGCACCTCCTAGGCATCAGGCTTCCTTCCGCCTTCTACGGGCTCTGTACTGCCCAAGAACAGATAAAGCCTTGCCTGCCAGAAACTTACATGCCAGGTGGAGACCGTGATTAAAAAAATAAAACCTATACATAAATATGAAGCTGTGGGGTGTTAAGGGCAACGACAAAGAAAATCAAGCTGGGTGAAAGGACAGAGCGGTGGGTCGAGTGAGGTGCTCCTCTAGGGCTGTGCCAGTTAAATAAGGTAGCTATGTGGGGCTCTTTAAATTTAAACTAAATACAATTCAGAATTCAGTTCCGTGGGCCCACAGCCATATTTCAAGTGCTTAATCGTCACATGTGACTAGGTGCTACCTTTATCGGATAGCACAAACTACAGACCATTTCCATCATTGTGGAAAGTTCTACTACATAGTGCTGTTTCAGGGAAGGTGGCTCTGCACAGGTCACATGTGAGGAGACCTGAGGGAAATGAGGGAAAAGAGTCAAAGGAAGTGGAAGGGCCTTCGAGCTGCTGGGCACAGAAACTGCAAAGGCCCTGAGGTCAAGGCATGCCTGCGTGTCCTATGAGACTACAGAGGCAGAAGCAAGGACCTAAAAGAAAAACAGAATAGCATGGGACCTTGCAGGCATTGTAAGGGCTCCAGCTTTTATTCTGGAAGGGTGGGGAAGGCCCAGAGGTAGGAAGGGTTCTGAGCAGGGCACCGACCGGATCTGTTTTACTTAACAGATCACCTCGGCTTCCTGTGAAGAACAGACTACAGTATAATAAGTGTGAGAGGAGGGAAAATACGTAAAGAGACCACCACAATAATCCAGGGATGTGATAATGGTGGCTTAGGAAGGGGTAGCAGCCTTGGATACTGAGAAATGGCCAGATTTCGGGTTAATATATGGACACAGATTTAAAAGGATCTGCCGACTGATTATATAGATGGGGTCGAGGATAACTCCAGATTTTCTGGCTTCCCCAAACACAAGGACAGGAATGCCACTCCCTGACATAGGGAAGACTGTGGGAAGGACAGGTTGTGGCCAGCGGTGATAGTGGTAGAAATTAAGAGTTTGGTTCTGAACTTATGTAGCTAGTGCACTTTTATGGCGTTCTGTCTGTTACAACAATACTGACTTATACAGAACACACGCAAGGGTATAAAATCTGCAGGGCTTACGTTTTCATCCTCCTGGATTTCCAAGGTGTAGGTGACCGCTTCCTCGGGTGAACAGCCTTCTGGTTTATTCCACTGCAATGTGACCCATGTGACCCCAGCTCGGACAAGTCTTGGCGCAGAGGGCATCTGAGGAATGTTTCCTAATGTGTAACATACCACCTCTTGGCTATAACCGCTATGGAGAGACAAACCCAGGAAGACATACATTTAGGAACATGGGAGGAGTCTTGGCATTTTAAAAGAGAAGGACAGGCCCACCTACTGCCTGACTGGCTTGGGCTGGAAAGTCTGGGGCATGACAGATCCAGCCAACAAAGCAAGGCAAGCACCCTTTATGTGATATTCCCTACTACCCCTACTTTCCATTTGCCTGATTGCCAGTCTGCCATTAAGAAAGCAGAGCACATTGCAGGATACACCGTTAAGGATTTATCTCCCACCCCCCGAAAGCACCCAGCAGAAAGCACAACACTGTGCAAAGGCACTAAGCTATGACCCACAGCTACCAAGGAACCTTCCTATCAGTATGAGCACAAATCAGTGTCTGCTGACGAAATACACTGCTTTACAAATATATACGGTGCTAGTTTTCAGAAGTTTGTGGGTGCTTCCAATTCACTGACAAACCCTTGAAGCCTTTATCATTAGGACTTTTTCAACCGGCAGACTTGAACCGGCTATCACGGGTGGAGAGAGGGGGCTATGAACCCTTGTGATGTTCTCGAGACTGGAGAAAAGCTTGAGGACCAATGATGCACTGAACCTTTAAGATTTTTCAATAAGCAGTGATGAAAGAAAAAGGATTTTTCCCTTAATCAAGAGTTACCCAGGAAGTACAATTGAAATATGGTCCTTTCAAATCATCTTTAATCCCCAGATGCTCCCTCGGACACCGATTATGGCCTTTCTTCTACAGCTTGAGGCAAGCTGTGGTGCCTGGGCCAGGCGGAGTTTTCTCCAGGCCTGTGAGAGTCTGCCCAGGACTTGACAACAATGGCCGGCCTGAAACCCCTTTCTATCAGGCAACCTCAAATATAACTGAAAAAGGCAACCACATGACTAGTGATGAAAGGAAAAGGCACGTGTTCTGAAAAAAAATAAAGCCTCAAGAGGGATTTCTCTCAGAATCTGAACTGCTACCTTCATCTGGGCTCCCAGGGACACGTCATGGGGCCTCGGCCTCACAGCCTGAGAACTGGCACGGAGGCCACCCAGGGCATTCATCACCTTGGGACACGCCTTTCACCCTCTGATTAGGGTTCCTTCGAGGAAAATCTCAAAATGGTTCAGCGTGGGGCAGTGGATGTCTTCACACGTTCCAGCCACATGAGAGGAAGACACAGAATGACCACGTGAGTGTTCAGCGGCAGGAGAGCGAGGAGACATCATACCTGGTGCCGATGTCATTCCGAGCAGCCAGCCTGAACGTGTACCCCATCGCTGGACAAAGCTTTGTCAACTTGCAGTGCTTCTGACTCCCAAAGAAGCACTGTCTGAAACCACTGTTTCTCTTTCCCTAAAAGGCAACAATGAAACAATACACACAAGTTTTTAAAAAACAAAATCAGTAATAAGAAACTGAGGAAGGCCTTCTGAATAATTGTTTCATTTCCTGGGTCTGGATGAACAAAACCAAGAGAAGGAAGAAGGCTTCTAGGGGAGTGTTTGACAATGCAATGTCATCCTGAACGTAAAAGGCACTACAGAAACATCTGGGGACACATGGGTGGCTCAGTCGGTTAAGCATCTGCCTTCAGCTCAGGTCGTGACCCCGGGGTCTAGGGATACACTCGAGCTCCCCAGCCAACAACAGGGAGTCTGCTTCTTCCTCTGCCCTCCTCCCACTCATTCTCTCAATCTCTCTTTCTCTCTAAATTAAAAAAAAAAAAAAATCAGGAAAAAGAAAGAAAGAAAAACCTGTAACTGAGACAAGTCATGCCTCATGCTTGTGGTATTTCTGAACTGGTTTTGGTTAACAACAACAACAACAAAAGTCCTATCAGGTATAAGGCAATGCACCATTTCTAAGATCCTCCTCACTTGCCTTGGTCAAACTGCCAAGTCTGACCAACCAAGGGTAAGTCTGCAGGCTTATTTCAGGGATCGCTAGTTCTGGAAAGGCAGTAATTGCAGAGCACCTGAGGATCAGTCTAATGAGCTTAGCGTGCCAGAGAAGAAAGCCCTCCCCAGGCTTCTCTCTCTCCTTTCCCACTCTGCCCCCCTCCCGCTAGTCCCTGAACATGTGCATTCCTGCAGTGGTGAGCTATTTGTTCACTGATCCCTAAATACGGGTCACATGCCTTTGACTCATCTCGCCCATATCCGCTTCCCTCCTAACAGTGCTGTGGACAGTCAGGGAGCTCAGTCACAGCTTACGGAGTTGCATGTCTGATAAGCACCTTGATGTCTGATGAGCAACCCTGGCTGAATTCACCTTTATGTATGATTGCCACTCTTTACCATTCTTATCAGGCCGGAAATACATTTTTAATGCCTTTCTAGCAGTATGCGATGCTTCAAATTCTTTGAAGTAAAAAGAAACCACTCTGGTAGGTTGTCTACACAGACCCATGTGTAAGAAAAAAGGTCACCTGCCCTGTGCCACGCTCAGGCACGGACTCCTCCTATCAGTAAGATGGCAGAACAAGTATTTCATGCCCATCATCCACAGCATTTTTATCGATGTTCACGCAAAGAAAGCCACATGCCAACACTGAATGAACCTTAGCATTCTAATCAGACGGTTGGGCCCAGGGCTTTCAGAAATATGTTTGAAGTTTTCAATTTATTTTATAAAGAAGGATGAAAGCACATTTTTCTCCTAAGCAAATTTAAGCATTTCCTTCCTTTAAGCAGGCCTCCAGAACGCTTACCACTGAAACACATTCCAGGTGAAGTTTAATTAAAAATAAAATAAACACACAACTAGCTTGAAGTGCCACTAGGGTGAACAGATTAAAAACCACTGGTACATTCATCCTCAGACTAATTCCCCGCCTTCCCTTCCCTTCACCAAGCAAGGTGGTGCCCTTTCCAGGAAAGGAGTAGAAGTCCTATTAATCTTTGAGATTCAAAGTTCATATTATCAAGGTTTCAAAGTCCACTCAGATGCAAACTGCAAAGCATAACATTTTTCAGCTGCTACTTGGGCAAAGTCACTGAGTGGCTGGCGTTTCAGCTTACTTTAACCTTGAGTGGTAAGGTTGCAGCAGACGATTTATTCATAGCAACACCGTTTATACATACATTTGCATAATTACATCCAGGGTCTGATTATACTCTGTGCACACCCTGGTATGTTTTGTATCCATTTCAAGCTGTAGCGTGATCTACCTTCTTTCCTCTTCTATTTCGGAGCTTAGAGTAAACAGTGCAAGAAAAGCATATCCTGCCGCCACGGAAGCCTCATCCCTTCCAATCCCGACGCTGGCTCCCCTCCAATGCCTCATTTTCCCTATTTCTTTGTTTGGTCTCCTTTGCCCATTTTTGGTGCTTAGAACTATAGCCAGTAAATAAAAGTCAGTCTGTTCCTTACTAGGTTGATTTGCTTTAATAGGGTAAAAACTGGACTGTCTGTGGCTGAAATGAGAAAAAAGAATGGGGAAGATCGATGATGGGGACTAGACTTCTCTTTTAAAGGGCCACAGCACTGTGATTTGCTGAAGAATTGGGAAAGAGGCATTCTGTGACCTTGAAGACATTTCTCCTATGTTGCCAAATTTCCTCCTCCCCCCACCCCGCCTCAGTATCAGGAACAACTACTAAATAAACTCCAACCTGTTTAGATAAAGCATGCCAAACTTTCCATCTTGGAAAATTTGTACCTTTCAAGATGTAATACTCTGTGCACGGTCCTTAACAACATGCAGAAAGACCCAGAGCTGCTGGAACCTTAGAACCGAGTTTTAGAAACAGCATCTGGAGTCTGAAGGGTTAAGAGTACACATAGTTCACAGAGTGAAGGAAGTAGGGAAGTAAGGAAATACTCATGAATGACATGGAGTTTAATATAAAAGGGATGTCAGGGAAGAAAAAAAAAAGGATATTCACAAAAGTCCTTGCAGTGCAAAAGTGAACTACAGCTGAGGGGTTAGCAAATAAGAATGGGGAACAGCACGGGGGGCAGCATGACCCTGATCTGCTGGACAGACCGTGCCAGGTGCTCACAGAGCTCCGGGCTTAGGCTCTGGGGGCAAGGACATGTTCAAAGGCTAATGTGGAGGACTGGTCTGTACACCAAGAAGGGTGCCAGGCTGTAAACAGCATTTGCAAATAAGATATTAGCCAGTTCTTCTTGTTGACAGAAATCAGTAGGGTTAAGGGGGAAAAAAAAAAGATAATGCTTTCAAAGACTGAAGGATTCAGCTGAACTGATGGGGGCTGTCATGTGAGTGCTTATCACTGTTTATCAGAAATTAAATATGTCTAAGCATTACTGTCAGTGAAGTTTTACAGATGGTAAATCGTAACTTTCATGTTATAGGTAGCATGGCTCCAAATGACTCAGAGATTATGATCTCTGGCAGGTACCCCCCCTCCTAATAAAACCTAATCTAAACTACACAGGATCAGAGAGATACTAGCTTTACTTGGAAACTTATTTTTTCATCATTTAAGGTCAGCCTTGTGTGAAGTTTCCCACAAAAACATGGTCCTAAAAGAAACGAGTATCTCTGGATGTTTTTTAGGTCTGCTGCTAATGATATGGCCAAACACAGGCAGCAGGGACACCGGTGGCCATGGCCGTGTCCTGGTCAGTGACTACCATGAGGCCACGTGTGGTGTGTCACACAGAGGAGAGGAAGAGGATTGCTCAAAAGGCCAAGCTGCTGGTGGGTCTCTAAGGGAAGAGCTGGAGCGTGGATGCCTAGAAACGCCTGAGTCTCTGTACGTGGGTGGATCAGGTGGGCAGCGTGTGAGAAGGCAGGATCAGAACCTCCCTAAGATGCGCAATGAGGCTCCCGTTCTCCTGAGGAAGGAAACCAAACTTCACCCCACTTAGGAAAAAGAGCAGAAAGAAAGCTTCAAGTCCACACCCTCCAACATTCTGGAACAGATCCAGGCCCTGGGCTGCATCTGACACGAAGCGATACAACCACCAGTCATGTTCTCACCGCACCTTCTACCGCCAGTGTACACAAATCCAAAAGGGGCAGATTTTTGGGCTCCCTGACTGGTTTCCATTTCAAAATCCTGGGCATGCCCAGATGCTGGTTTCTACAGCACAGCTGAGTTCAAGGACAAGATTACTCTTTCCTAAATGAGAACAAATCTTGGGCTTGCGAACTCATGGTGTGCTGATGAACTTCAAGGCACTCCATTTCACACGGGGTGTGGCATTACAGCCCTGGGTTCCCTCCCTCTTCAGCTGAGCGCTCCTCTTCTCACTCAACTCACTCTACAGCTCTCGTTAATCTATCACCATCCCAGATGCAGCCCCAGTGAGAGCACCAGTTCGGCACCATGGCCTTGAGTCCCATGGAGATGTATCCTGGCCAGAGCGCAGGCTGCTTATCTCCCACTCCTGGTGACCACTGCTCTCTAGGACAGCCAGCGAGCCAGCGCATATATGTCGGCCCTTGCCCAGGACCCCGCTGCTCAGTTCTGTCTTACCTCCTCTTTATTACCACGAAATGAGAGCACATTATGTATGATCTACATTCTAGACCATTCCAGACCCCAGGGGGTTGGGTTCCTCTCCATTCCCTCGAGCCGAGCAGGTCTCAGGCAACCCACTCCCCCTGTGCCACGGCAACTCTCATTGTCCAGCATTCCCGTGGCCGATGTCTGCCGGCCATCCCTATTTCTGCCTCCCTCTGGCTGAGCAAGTGCCTCGTTTCAGTTTAGACTCACATACCAAAGACAGGTACCATCTCTGAGGAGAATCGCAGACTCGGAAGATTTAAAATCCTTCTAACGCTCACTGTTTAGAAAAGTCACATAGTTGTTTACAAGTTCTAAGAATAATCAGAGTCCAGATGTTCTAGGTCCTACAAGGTTCCTGCTAACTTGTGAAGAATGTCAGTCCTCAATAACCTCCAGCACAACGTTCTACCAGACCGTGGAAGGGCAGGGTAAGAGAAGGAAACACAGTGCAGCCCGTAAAATGTGGACTCTCAGTGGCTCACCAGCAGAGGCTGACTCACCCTTGGAAAGGTTTTCTCAAGATGTGTTAATAACCTCTGCGACAAGGATGGCCCTCCACCCCAACCACGGAGAGGTGTGGGGGAAAGGAAATGCCTTATCAAACATTTCAGTCTTTAAAATAAAACTTGGAGGGGTGCCTGGGTGGCTCAGTGGGATAAGCCTCTGCCTTCGGCTCAGGTCATGATCTCAGGGTCCTGGGATTGAGCCTCGCATCGGGCTCTCTGCTCGGCAGAGAGCCTGCTTCCTCCTCTCTCCCTCTTTGCCTGCCTCTCTGCCTACTTGTGATCTCTCTCTGTCAAATAAATAAAATCTTAAAACAAAAATAAAACTTGGAGATAAATTATAAATGTAAAAGGCTTTAAGTATTTT